TCCGTGAAGGAGAATAAAACTGAAATATCTTTGTAAAAAAAAACTACTTTCAGTTAAATTGACTTCACTCACTCATGGAGCTGAGCCCTTCTTGAGAAGCCGCGAATTGTGCAGCTACTCAAAAACTTCCCAGTATTTTGTGAAACCCGAAAATTCATTACCGTGTTCACAAGAGCCCTCCACTGGTGCCTATCCTGAGCTAGATTGATCCAGTCGATGCCATCCAATCCTATCAATTTAATAGACTTGCAGTCACAAACTGGGGGCACGCGGTAGCGTAGTTGGTTGAGGCACTATGCTACAAGCCGGAAGGTCGCGGGTTCAAGTTCCGATGAGGTCATTGGATTTTTTTCAATTGACCTAATCCTTCCGGCCGCACTATGGCCCTGGGGTCGACTCAGCCTCAAACAGAAACGAGTACCAGGAATTAATTAAATAATTTTCCTGGGGAGTAAACCGCGGTCGGCGCGTAAGGCTAACAACCTTACCGCCATCGTTGAGCCTATTGTCTAGATAAAGTGGGACGCTCAACGTCTCAAAACCCTATGGGCCTTCACGGCCTGTTACAGTTACTTTTTTTTTTTACTTTACATACACAAACTATGCTACTAATATTCATGCCACTAAATACATACTGCTTATTTACACTCAGAACGAGCTCTGGGTCCGCAGTATTCTCCTTAAGAATTATTAACTGGTATCTACTAATGCTCTTGCTCTCCAAGCCAATATTAAGAAGTCGAAAGTTCAACTACCAAATAACATTTTCCATATTTCCCAAATTATTAATCATGAAAGCCCAGATTCATATACTTTAAAACTTGTAAGATAAAATTTACATCTTTCCGGATGTTTGAGGGACATATTTGTTAACCTTGTATGATGACTTCTCTGAGTAACGGCTCTTGTTGTGACCATGAAGCACGCACGCACACGCGCACGCGCACGCGCGCGCACACACACACACAAACGACATGTTTTTTTCCCATCTATCGATTAGCGTATATGGGTCTAGATTTTATTTTATTTATTACTTAAATAGCAATCAGAATTACAGTATTCTATAAGCTATTGTGATAACATTGGGCTAATAAGCCCTCCTCTGACAGGATGAGGATCCTTCCACCGAAAGAGCTTCTATTTTTCACTGGAGGTCAACTGGAAGACGTCTTTTCAGTCGTCTGTTTTTAGGTGCTTCCAGTATCGGCTGCATCAATGGATTGATGTGCGTCTCTAGTCGATCATGGTGTTTGCTGCTACGCTCTTGGATTACATCTGAGATGATTGAGATGCCAAGGTCGTGGTGAAGAGTGTCGTTCGATACGTGTCATGGTGCATCTGTCATTGCTCGAAGTATTTTGGACTGGGATCTTTGGCTGATGGCTATACTCGACTTACTGGCACAGCCCCATAGCTCAGTCCCATAGGTCCATATGGGCTTTGTCACAGTGTTGTATATCAGGATTTTGTTTTCCAAGTTCAGATGGGATTTTCTTCCTAGTGGCCAGTATAACTCTTTAACTTTCGCATCGATGTGTTTCCTCTTTTTGACTATGTGTTCTTTCCAATTGAGTGTTTTATCCAAGTGTATTCCCAGATAGCGCACTGATGGTGATTCCGGCATGATTTCATTGTTGATGGACACTGGAGGACACAGTCCCTTCCTTAAAGTAAAAGTGATTTGCGTAGATTTTGTTTCATTTATTTTAATTTTCCATTTTTTGGTCCACTGTTCTATGAGATGTAGGTGGTGTTGCAGGTGCACTGACGCAGTTTCTGGGTGTTCATGGCTGGATAATATTACTGTGTCATCTGTGAAAGTGCCAGTTATTGTATCAGCTGTCGTCGGTATGTCTGATGTATATAGTAAATAGAGTACTGAGCCCAATACACTACCCTGAGGTACGCCGGACTTTACTGGAAAGACGTTTGAAATTTCACCATTGACTTTGGTTCTCAACTGTCGGCCATTTAGGAAGGACCTGATCAGCTTGAAATATGTCGGGAGAGTGTGCTTTATTTTATAAAGGAGACCATCGTGCCAGACTTTATCGAAAGCCTGACTTATGTCCAGAAAGCCTGAAGAACAAAATCTTTTGTCTTCAAACGATTTAATTGTATGGACAATTCTGTGGCATTGTTGAATTGTTGAATGTGAATGCCGAAAACCGAATTGGTGGTGTGGGATTTCGTCTAAGGAGGGACTTATTATATGAAGTATTAGTTTTTCGAGGAGCTTGGATACAGTGGAAAGTAGGCTGATGGGCCTGTATGAGGTAACGTGATTTGGGTGGCTCTAGATTTCCAACAGAAAGGTTAGTTTCACAAACTCAGTGTGTATGAACTTTTTTCTTCTTGGCACTAAAGCCCCAGTGGACCTAGGCCTACCTCCATGAACTTCTCCGTTCACTTCGATTTTTCTAGATCTTACACATTCTGTAGGACTCCTTGGGCGGGTGATCAGCTCGTCGCAAGGACCCTACCTGTACGCAAACAGAAAAATGCACACACTCGAACTAAACATCCATGCCCTGAGAGGGATTCGAACCCACGATCCCGGTTTCCAAGCGAGCGAAGACACTACATGCCTTAGACCGCTGGGCTACCGTGACCGGCGTGTATGAACTTAAACTGCTTTAATGACCCCACCTCATTCAACTGATATGTTTTTCTGCGTATGCTAAACCAAGACTAGTCTGAACTGAATTAAAATTGATGACGCCACAATAAATCAATTTTACAATAATGGATATTCATATAAGGGAACCATTTATGATTTTGTCGATGTATCTATATGATATGGCCGAAATTATTTTGATGTTGTTAAAAATTTCAATTACATAAATTTCGACAAACCAGACAGTATTTGGACACGTCCTATTGTTTCGACGCATATGGCCCAGCTACTTAGAAGTTTCTTGGTTTCATTGAAATGTTTTTGGATGTACCTTAAGCCATTCCTACAGCGTTTCTTTCCACGACTGATGCTCATTTCAGATACAGATTAGCAATTCTTCGTTTGTCTCAGATGCACTCATTGATCTGCTCGTCTAATCTCCTCTTAGATTTCCCCCCCTACACAGCCGTTCGTCTGGCTTATGTAGCTATCACTGCAAGGCTTTAGCCACGCGCCTGCCGAATTCTCTCCACCTCACTCATTGGTATATAACATATGCAGTTGGAAGAAACGTCATTAAAATATGTAAGATTTGAGATTTTCACGGCGGTGACTATGAAGAATGCAGTCTTCTGGAATGTGGCGTCATGTAGGCAGTATAAACCGACGTTTCGAATGAACGTATCACCTCACGTTGGTTCCTCGCTCGCGGATTTTTTCTTTCATTTTTCTTCTACCCTTAAGATGGAGGTGATACGTTCGTCGGAAACGTCGGTTTATACTATGTCTACACGGCGCCAAATCCCAGAAGACGGCATTCTTCCTCATAAAAATAATATAAGAAACACCAGTCCTAGGATATAGGCCTACTTATACTTACATAACCATTTACATTAACAGTTACATCATAAATAAGAAAACTTGTTTGGTATATAGATTTCACGTGGAACAGTATTTACGTATTTCTCCGGTGATTTAGAAATGTGACTAGTTCAACGGTGTATTCTTGGTCGTGTTCCATTTCACGTGGTTCGACGACAACGCGGCCGGTTGTGTTGAGCAAGTAACTGCAATCCTGAAATATGTGACGAACAAGGTTGTTTTCGTCACTATAATGGACACCAAAAGCATGATATGTAGATAAGCAAGAAATTCTTCGAAAATTGGCCAGAGCTTAAATATTTATGAACGACAATAATTAATCACAATTATGTTCACAAAGTTAAAACAGGATAATTAATTTCGGGTAATGCTTGTTAGTTCAGAAATTTTCAACTTGATGTCTCATACATAAAAATCTGACTTAAAACACAAACAGTAATTTTGCCGGTTTTTGTGTCTCTCAACCCAAGGGAAGAAAATTGACTGACAGCCGTTGGATATGAGGTTCTCAGAGCGCTCAGAACGGTGGCTCTTCCGGGTTGTAGCACCGTGTAGATTTATTATTATTATTAATTCGCTTAGTGGGGGGTGGAGTCCAGCTGGGTTCACTCGGCACGGCAACCACTGATTGGCCTATTGTACCTGCCCCGGGTGATTATGATGATGGACAATTTGGTGGAATGAAGATTGTCAGGGGAATCAGAAGTACTCGGAGAAAACCCGCCCCAGAGCCACTTTGTCCACCACAAATCCCACTTGACCAGACCCGGGATCGAATTCCGGCTACTTACTGCTGGTTTCTCGCTTGGCTTGTTCTTTTATCCAGAATATAGAGAAGATACGTTCCTCCGAGACGTAGGTGGACTTCTACCGAACTACACGGCGTCACAACCCAGAAGATCGTAAGTATATGAGGAAATAATAGGAAGGTACTGAAGTATTGCTTTACAAAGTGAGAAGCTCTAAAATTGGTATTTTTCACCAAATATTATTACTGTGACCTGTCAGGGATGATAATATGGATGGGATATATGTTACGCCTGAAGGATACAAGAAACGTTTACACAATTTTAATACGAAAATCTAAAAATATTAGACCTGCTTGGGTTTCTGGGCGTAGATGGGAGGATAATTCTGAACTGGGTCTTGAAGGAACAGGATGTGATGGTGTGGATTGGATTTATCTGGCTCATAATAGGGTCCTTTGGCGGGGTTTTAGGAAGCGGTTATAAACTTTGGAGCTCCGACCGGAATTTCTTTACCAGATGAGCGAGCATCAGCGTTTCAAGTGGGGCTCAGCTGCGCGGAGTTAGGAAATTAGTATGACGATGCGGTACTTAAAATAGGCTTCATACTTTGCTTCGCAGTTGAAACGAAGTTGTTAAATATCCGATGAACCAGTCATCAAGGTTTCGAAGTACTTGAAGGGGAAGGTCACGGCGGGGAAGTCTTCCCCCCACCAGTATTGTTACGATGGTTGCGATGTGGTCTTAGTAGCGCGGCTGGCCTCCTTCTCTTGCAGTACCGTGCAGTAAGGCCGTGCTCACTTCTGTGACTTGGACGTTCGTAGAGGGCAGGAAACAATCAGGTCACAGGAGTTCATTTCGCTGCGTGGCAAATCTTGCAGAAGCATTTAACTTTTTCATCCCTCATCTTAAAAAGTAACCTTGACTTTCAGGATAAGGAAAACAAAGGTAAGAACAAGGAAACAGAAACTTGTGGTCGTTAGTATTAAATTTTTGTAACAATTGTGCTATTGTTGGTGAAGTTGTAATTTTTTTCCTTAAAGTGGGAGTCAAACATTTTCGTTGCTCATTTAAGATACTGTCATTTACTTTCTGTTTAGTGATGCCAGAAGTAAATTGTTTCAATCCAGGAAATGTTCGAAAGCACTTCCTGCTTATGAATGAACACAGAGCATTTGTAAAAGTGTTTTGTTGCTTGGTTGTATTTTGGTCAGTTTCAATGGCAGAATTTAGTGACCACTTTGATGAAGTATGGGTTTTATTACGAGCAGAAAATGTGTTGACCAGAGGACTAACTTGAGATTCTCCACTTTAGTTTTTATTGGTTTATTTAAAGACGCTTTTTCGATGATATGTTGAATGACATGACTAGTTAGCCGAATTGGCAAGGAGCAGAAAGGAAACTAAGCTGTGTTACTGTAACTTCCCAGGTGTTTCCTGGAAGGACAGAGGAAGACCACGATGAATCTTGTGGTAATCGATCTCGAAGTCTATACCTGACCCTAGAATTCTAGAATGCAAAGCATTAGTTCGCAACTGTCTGTAGAGGACCTTTGTCAGGAATGCAAATTTTGGGTGGAGGAAAGTAATTACAGACTGGGTTACACGTAATTACCTTCATGGAGCTGGACCCTTCCTGATAAGCCGCCAATCATGTAGCCACTCAAAAACTTCCCAGCATTTTATGTAACCTGACGGTTCATTACCGTGTTCACAAGGGCCCACCACTGGTCCCTATCCTGAGCCAGATAAATCAGTCCATACCACCCATCCTATCTCTTTAATGTCCATTTTAATATTATCCACCGACCTACGTCTTGGTCTTACTAGTGATATCTTTCCTTCTGGCTCTCCCAAAAATATCCTATATGCGTTCCTCTTCTTCCCCATTCGTGCTACATGCCCTGCCCATCTCATCCTCCTTGACTTCATTCTAATTATACTTGGAGAAGAGTACAAGTTATGAAGCTCGTCATTATGAAGCTTTCTCGAACCTCCGATCACTTCATCTCTATTCTGCCGAAATATTCTCCTCAGCACCCCGTTCTCAGACAGCCTCAGTCTGTGTTCCTCCCTTAATAACATACACCAAGAGCACAATCACACAGAACCACAGGCACAATTATAGTTTTGTATATTCTCTTATGTACGGAAAACTGTGTGTACCTAATTCACGATTCTCATTAACCTTTCCATACAAAAATGTATATTCGCCTGCTGGTCCGGTGCCAGCTCTGTCCCATCTGACCTCCTGTACTCCCACTAAATCTAACTTATATTTGGTATTTCTTATGCAACTGCCCTGAGCGAACCTGCCCTATACAGACTTCTCACATTCCACGTACCAAATCTCATGTCCATTTTGCTTAGCTTAGGTCGTTTATCCAAAGAATCCATCGAAGTCCGAGGCCCATAGTGTTATTTCATAACACGCATATTTTATACGGTGAGGAGTTGTTAGCCCCAAGCCAAACCCCCAATCTGGAGGACCACTGATTGTCGGCTGTCCGCGATTGCTTACTCAGTATATTCGCGGCCACCCTCTATACCTGGAGGGCGTCTCCTCCATCGGCCATGGTGACAAGGGACTCACCTAACATGGGGCTTACATCTATATAATTTGAATTTCAGAAATTAAAAGGATAGTTTGATAAATGTCAGATAGTAAGGGTATTGTGTTTCCTTCACAAGAAACATATCCACGATATGTGGCGCAGTCAGCTGTCAAGGAGCGTCCTCCTAATAAATGACCATATTTAAAGGGGATGAATTTTTTTCTTTGGCGCTACGGGCCCAATTTGGGCCTTGGTCCACCTCCACGAATCTCTCCGTTTCACTTTGGTTTAATAGATCTTAAGACATTTTGTAGGACTCCTTTGGCGGATGATCAGCTTGTCGCAAGGTCTCTACCTGTACACAAACACAGAAAAACACACACAAACTCCAAACATCCATGACCTGAGTGGGATTCGAACCCACGATCCCCGCTTCCGAGCGAGCGAAGACAGTGCATGTCCTAGACCGCTCGGCTACCGTAACCGGTCAAGTGGATACATTATCTGTCCACAATTGCTCGCTCTTTCATCTTCAGTTGTCTAATGACTGCACGTTCCTATGGCAGATATACGTAGAAAAAAAAGTTTATGTGAACTGGTCTGTGAAACCATCTACTAAAATGTCCTAGCCTATACGTCTGCCTGTACACGCTGCTTTCTGTCCGTAGTTCTGAAGTTCTGAATATCCCTTCCGCCGATTATAACAACTGACTGTGTCAGCAAAGGACGGGGAGGGGGAAGCGATTGAATGAGCAGAATTAAACAGAAACTGGAAAGGTGCTGGGAGAATGCAAGAAATGACCATAAGAACGTCTGGAGTAAAATAAGTAAAACAAGTTGTTGACACGGAGGGGCAAAGTACTCAAGTTTCAATGGGCGAACGAAGCTCAGTAACATTGTGTATCAGTTTAAGGAGCAACGGGGAAGAAGAGAAATGTACAGAATTATGTACGAGAAGGCAGGAAAATTCCCGAGTGGAGGCGGGTTAGAATGCCTCCACCGCAGATCCGCAAGTCGTAGGTAAAGGCAAGGTAAAGGTATCCCCGTAACGGGCCGTGCAAGCCCATAGGGTTGAGAGATGTCGAGGCTCCCACATTTTCTAGACAATCGCCTCACAGATGGCGGTGAGTTTGTCAGCCATACGCGCCGCCCGCGCTTTACCCCCCAGGAAGATTCCTGGTACTCATTTCTGTTAGAGGCTGAGTCGACCACAGGGTCATAGTGCGGCTGGAAGGATTAGGTAAATTGAAAAAAATTCACCTCATCGGGACTCGAACCCGAGACCTTCCGGCTTGTAGCATAGTGCCTCAAACAACTACGCTACCCCGTGCCCCTACGCAAGTCCCAGAAGGCGAAGAGAAAGGGAACCGGGTGTCTGGGGATAAAGCTGGGCCACCCGCTCGCCGGGGAACAGAAATACAGAGACCTGGTCCTCCTGGTTTGGGGTTAGACGCAAGAGCTTTTTCTGCAAAAAAAGAAATCATTGTTGCGATATCGAAGACCGCCTCTGCGGTACAGTGGTCGAAGTTCCTGGCTACAGATCCAGAGGCCCGGGTTCGATTCCCTGCGCTACCAGATTTTCTGAGGAGTAGTGGGTCTTGAACTTGGTCCATTCAGCCTCGTGAGGATAATCGACGAGCTATATCAAGGAAATGGCTGCTCCGGTCTAGAACACCGAAAGTGACGGCTGTGAGTGTTCGTTGCGCTGACCACACGACACTCTCTGTCCGTTATAGTTGGCGCTAACTTCGCCGATAAGCGGCGGTCGCTCGGTCGGTATAGTTCGCTTGCGGACTAAAAACATGGAGTTCATTCTTTCTTTCTTTTTTTTTTTAAGTTTGCGAAATTCAAAGTAGTGAAAACCAGATGGCACATCTGGCCGAACCTTCTAAGTAAGAAGGGCTGTTTTGCTAGTGGTGCTGATGATGATGATGAAGGCAGGAGAGGAATGGGATGATTGAAAATAGGAATTTTGTAACTAGAGGGGGTTACTAGGTACAATGAACGGAGGCTGTACTTCATATGTAGCAGCGGGGAAGATTAAGACCACATACTGACGTGTGAAGGAACAAATATTTGGAGGGATTAAATTTTGGATTAAAGTTCAGGGATGTCGATGCAGAAATAGGTAAAAAGAATGTAAGAATAAAGAGCAATAGCGAAACTCATATTATATATACTTAAATATAAAGAGGAATGAAGATGTAAGTAAGAACGGGAGTGAAGTAGTACAGAATGAAAATGTCCATATATGAGAGCTGAGTTCTCTATTGCAGGAATAGCAATTCAAGTTGGGATGGTAGAATGTACGAACAGGGAGCCAGACCCCGTCACAGCAACATGTAAATTATAACGGACGTAATCAAGTATTTGTTCATTAATCTATTCACTATAGTAGCTATAAACAGAGGTCAAAGGTTTAGACATTAATACAAGTAAAACAGTGGGGTTCATATAAGGATGTTTTTTTTGACCGCCTTAGTAGCTGTTAAATAATAATCAGCTTCTCAAGAAGGATTGTTTCAGGAGGCTGTTAGTTAAATTACTTTTTTATTGCTAGTGGGGTGGGACTAAGTCTCATGTACTGCGGTCACTTCTGGCCTATTGTACCAGCCCCAGATGATAGGTGAGGGTGATTGTGGAGCAATTGGTGGAATGAAGATTGGCAGGGGAAACCGAAGTACTCGGAGAGAACCTGCCCCAGCGCCACTTTGTCCACCACAAATCCCACTTGACCAGACCCGGGATCGAACCCGGGCCGCCGCGGTGGGAAGCCAGCGACTAACCTCTTGAGCTATGGCGCGGCCTTAGTTAAATTAAATCATAATTGATTCAGAGGTTAAGTGACAACATAGCAGTAACGAACTTAGAATTTCATTTCGGGCATACGCTCACCGCGTTGTATTAGTCAACAAGGACCAATTTGCATAGACCTGTTTTCAACTCAGCAGTGATTTTGCCGAATATTCATGACCACACCGACAGCAGCAATTTGTTAAATCCTTTCCAAACACTACATAAACTTCGCAGCTGGGAACGCTTCGTTGAATAATCGAATATGCACTAAATCATTCACCACCAAAATGTACTTCGCAAATTAAATTTCGACATAAAACGTCATTTTCATGTGTAATATTTCAACTGGAGGGTTTGAGGGCACCGGATTCTGGTCCTCTGTTCGATAGTCTAGTGATCCATTTGCGGTATTCAATTGTTACTTCCTTGAATATAATATTTCCTTCTTAGTCTGATCCAAACACCGTAGCTCCGCAGACCCGTTCATTTTATGAATGGCACGAGAGCCAAACGAAACTTCAAGTAGCAGAGCCATCTATTCATTGTGTGGCTAAAATACATGTGCAGTAAAAACAATCTGGTGCCTTTTACTGCGGC